GCACTGTTTCAACTGGTGTCCATCTGTGCCAAGTACGGATGAAGGAGATAAGCTATTCTACTTTTCGCGATCTTCGATTAAAAATATAAGAGGTGTTCTAGCCTTACTTTAGTAATCATGGTCTTACTATCAATACTTTAGTTGTCTTGTAAATATAGATGTTGCAGAAATTGGGATTCTAATTTCTACTATAGGGGAATTCCGAAGTCCCTTAGAAATAAAAATTATACAGATAGTAGAGATCGGAATTTACTATAATACAGTGTCGATGGAAGTAAAAATAGAAAGAATTGAACAATACACACTTCACTATCGTTTATTAGTGGAACAGGAAAAGAAATAGAACATCTCAATCTTCACTATAGTTGAGATTGGAATAGACTACCAGAACCGCCACAAAAAACGTATTTACTATTTGTTATTGTTGTTGTTGTATTTACTATTTATTCAGATTTGAACGATAATTCAATTATTGATGTTCCATCCGCTTGTTTCAATCCAACAAATCACCGTAAGCGTATTCCAGATGAAGCGGAAGAAAATTATTTGAAAACCATTGAAACGATACCGCTACACAACGTTCTGCATACGTCATTGGTGCTTTAGTTGGACTAAAAATCGATCGAGTTGATCGCACAAATGTTACAGCCAAAGTATTACACTATAAAATTATGTCAATTCAAACATCGTCCAATGAAACAAATCTGGGGTGATTTTTTGAGTAACTTTTGATAGAAGATAGATACAGATCTGCGGTTTTTGCTGTTTGATAGCTAAGACCTGTACACAACTTTTCACAAGCAGAACTGATTTTTGAAAAAGATTCAAAGATCGAATTTAGAGCAAATCTTTGGAGAATCAGTTGCATCTCTGAGAACTGAGGTAGAAATAGGTCGATCTTTCTTCATAGATAGATAGTCCAAAGTGTCCTCTGTAAGATGCGAACTAAGCAAACCCTTAATTTTTTCCGGTTCGGGCGTGGCATCGGATTTCCTGAGAGTCACAGAATCAATATTTTTATAGGTGTGGCAATTCCGAAAATAAATGGAAACATAGGTAATCGACCAAGCTGAATCTCGTGGTAATATTTGTTTTTCAAAACACTTGCAAAGACCTAGTAAAAACCTATGTTAGGTGAAGTTCGTAAGAAGCCTGCCTGGTTAGCGTGGAAAAAGTATTATTACGGAGAAAACCATAAACACGATTAAGAACAATACGTTCAAAGATCTTTGCTACAGAATTTAACAGTGTAATTGGCTGATAGTTGCTTGGCAACTGAGCGTCTCTAGATTTATACAAACAGTGTACAAAACCTAGCTTTCAAGACTCAGGAAAAATGCCAGTGTTAAGCGACTCGTTGAAAACAGCAGCTAATATCGATGTAATAGAAGGCGCTGCCTCTAACAACATTCTGTTTATGATGCCAGGCGAACAACATTTTGCTGCGTCTAAATTTGATAATAATTCAAAGACTTCAGTATCATAAATATGAAACTGCGACATAACAACGCGCGGAGGTGCTAACATAGGGAACGTCGGATTATTCTGAGAAGATGTGCAAACTTTTGCAAAATAATGGTTAAGTAATTCGGCCTTATCAAGAGGCTCGCTAACTAATAAATCAGTATTTGTATCAAGCAAAGGTGGTATAGATGATGAACGGTGTTTATCAATTGTATGTTTCATGAAACTCCACCATTTTTTAGATGACGAGTTCAAATCAGTTGCAAATTTATTAAGGTAATGCGGTATGGCAGATTTACAAGCTTCTTCGAACTTAACTGCAGCCTGACGGTACGCCTCATAGGAATGGGTCGACGGATACATTGGTAGGAAATATTTTTTAAAAAGTTTGTCACGCTGTTTTAACAACTGTTTTAACTCCTTACTAAACCATGGCGCATCTTTAGAAGAAACTGTTACAAGTTTATTAGAAATTATTCTATCTGCTATCTCCATAAATTTCGAGCTCCAAGTTATCACTTCTGCTGAAATATCAGAAAATTGATTTATATGTGATGATCAGTCAGAGGAGAATAGCGCCTGTCGGAATGAGTTCCAGTTAGTATTCTTGTAGTCGTACATCCTCCTTTGATATTTGAATGAAGTATTGCTTTTACTACCAAGCGAGAAAAGTAACATAAAGTGGTCACATTTGGTAGAAAGTTTAGGAAGTATATTAACATTAGTAACGGCTGAGATGTTAATCGTCAATAACACGTCCAAACAGGTATTCGATTCAGGACGAGTAACACCTGATACCAACTGATGTAGACCTTCAACACACGAAAACTAGAATAGCTTATCTCCTTCATCCGTACTTGGCACAGATGGACACCAGTTGAAACAGTGCCCATTAAAATCGCTAACAAAGATTATAGAGTCGTATTTAGGAGAAATTGCCTTACGTATAATTTCTGGTGAATTACTTAGATGCTCCGTGAAATCTAACATATTGACCCAGTCAGGACAATACCCAACGGAGATCAGGTAATTCTTCATAGAGGTTGTTTTTAGTTTTAGAAAACATGTTTCAAAATTAGGATTATCGAATATGGGTAATCTTTTTGCAACAGTTCCTTTCCGTATAAATAGTAATATGCCTCCAACGCGCTTGTGGTTTCTGTCTTTGCGTAAAAACAGATCAAAGCCTTTTATGTATAACTGTGCTATGCCATGAGAAGGAATTAGTCAAGTTTCGACTATAGCGATCCGAACTGGTTGTAATTTAGCAGCCTGTATTCGAAGCAGTTTGATTTTACTCATTTCACACCAGATAAGATACTACGTACATTCAAAAATAAAACGTTTTCGTCGTAATGTACAGTGGTACTTGTGTTAACCTTTTTTCTCTTAGTCATATTCACAATCACACAATAGACAGAACATAGTAGTAGACACGACACGAGGCATTGACAGATAAAGATTCATTCCCATCTTGCAGAGGACACTTTGGACTATCTATCTATGAAGAAAGATCGACCTATTTCTATCTCAGTTCTCAGAGATCCAACTGATTCTGCAAAGATTTGCTCTAAATCCGATCTTTGAATCTTTTTCAAAAATCAGTTCTGCTTGTGAAAAGTTGTGTACAGGTCTTAGCTATCAAACAGCAAAAACCGCAGATCTCTATCTATCTTCTATTAAAAGTTACTTAAAAAATAACCGCGGCCATTATTTTCGGAAGCAGACAGTAGTTGAAATTAAAATAGTCACTTTATTCTAATTTGCACTAGTGGAGCTTGGTATGTTTGTTTCAGAAAATAGAGAGTAGTATGACGAAGGGCTTCGTCGTCGCCGATGCAGCTCATCTTATGATATTTTAAAAAGTATTATCTATTACGATATCCTGAATAACTACTGGAGATTAAGGAAATGGTATAAAAGAAAATAACCGGTGTTCAAGATTTAGTGGATTTCGATGAAATCGAATAATGTTTTAGAAACATGTGGTTGATAATCTATTTTCAATTTTTTAACGTATCGAGCAGTTATACATTTGAGACTAATTTTTGTTTGACTTTTTAACAGCGTCTCAGCTGTTTTCGTTTCCGCACACATTTGCGGAGTTTGATCATTCGAATTTACAACATCTAAATGTGCACCATTATCAATCAGTAATCTCACAATCGTCTGCAATGTTCGAAAAGCACCGTCAGTTTCTACAGGTTTCCATTGCGCAATGATATGCAATGGTGTATTTCGTTGTTGATCAAATGCATTAACATCAGCGCCACATTGAATAAGGAGTCGCGTACTTGCTTCACACGGATATAAACTATCACAACCAAATATAGTGATCATATGGTTTAGAATGCTCGAATTGAACTTACTTGCCGATTCTGTATTCAATAAACTTGTCAATGGGTGTCTTGTAATCTACGCATAGATGTAGAATACTTTGTTTACTTGTTGTCATGATATTCAAACGATTTAGTCGACGAATGCATTGACAGGTCAAAAATTGGTCTTGGTTGCTCTGTACAGTGATTATCTTGAACAGAAAATGTTACCAACTCCCTATAAACTTTTCCACATCAGAAGGCTGTCTGTACATAAAAGTCTGAATGATGGTTTTTGATATTTTAGGTTCTCTATAGGTTTTCTGATTAAAAGTAGATCTTGTCTTCTATTCTGTAAGGCTGAAGTTATTTAGTAAAAATCTGATACAATACCTTCGATATGAGAGCAATCAAACATAAAACACTATTCAAATTTTGATTTAGTTCGTTTTGTACAGTTTGAACACGTTCTAAATCATCGATACTATATTCTAATATATGAAGAAACATTTTATACGGTATATAAACATTTTCGCAGATGATTTCACTGAATACTTGTGCTATTCGAATAAGATGATATTTTATACTTATTTGAAGTTTATTCCGTTGTTGCAATACTCGTAACCATAAATTTAAGCAACGGCCGTATCTTTTCTCATTGGCATATTGTGTTCCAAGGTCAATGAGCACGGCAATAAACGTTTTATTATCAGATCCTAAAATTCGTTCCAGCATCATAAGTGACTCGATCAACATTAAATCATCACTGGACCGAATTTGCTCCAGTTGTTCGATTGTCTGACATTCCACACGATACTCGTATGTCTCTTGTGGTGCTAAGACCAATTTTAAGACTGGATTCATTGGATCTGACTGTCTCAATTGCATTGCCTTTAAGATATAAGAATATGCTGAGGTGGTATTACTAGTCTGGGCAAGAAGTGAACCCAATAATTCCAACGCCTCGATAGCTTCTAAACGTGAATTGCATCTGTTGTTACTTATAAAATACTCGACAAAGTCACTCTTTTTGCTAATGGCCGCCATCATCAATGGTGTCATACCATCTAAATTCTTCACTTGTTTTGCACCATGGTTACACAACCTTTGAACTATAGATAGGTGTCCCTGTTCAACAGCATTATGTAAAGCAGTTGAACCAGAATTTGACTTTGCTTCAATATTGCTGTCTACACTGAGGAGATATTCGACAATATCCAAATGTCCATAATAAGCTGATAGCATCAAACATGTATCACCAGCTGAATTTGCTATATTAACATCGGCATTATTTTCGAAAAGATATTGTACTATAGAAAGTCGGCCATCAAAACAGGCTGGCCTTATCGGTGTCGATCCTGTTTCAGTTTTGTGATTTACATCAGCTCCATATTCTACTAATATTTTCACGACGCAAGATGTTCACTTTTTACGCAGCGAATTTCATCGTATTTAGGTCAAGAAAATCATGCAATACAATAAGTGAACGGTCAAAGTCAAAATGACCAGCAGATGATGCGTACCATAGAGCTGTTACGCCATTGATAATCCTGTCGAACTCAATTGTTCCTTCTATTTCCATATTCGGTGTATAATTACGGACGAGGAATTCGACGATCTTCGAATTACCGTTTTGTGCTGCAATCATCAACGGAGTCCGTTTAACCGAACCATCTACAATCAGCTCATTTACGTACTCTGGAACAACTTCTATCGGAATACTCTCTAAGAGAGATTTCAACGAAAAGATTTCCCCATCTTTGGCTGCAGTATAAATTCCTTGTTGTAACAAGTGTTTTTTAAATTCTTTATATGTTACCTTTTTCATCTATAGCAAAAATTGTGTTCAAGACAAACACATATAATCCCAGCCAACTAAGTCCGCGATACTTACAAAAATTTCTACTCATTTCAAAAAGTGATCCTAAAATAGGAGCGATACCACTGCATATACTAGCAGCATTTTGTCTAAAATGTCTTCTTTCGTACACCTTCAACTATACCGTTTTACTTTAACTCGAGAAGACAAGTGGAATTCTTCAATTTCTATCGTATCTTTCGAGTATATTCTTCTATAAAAGATTTACCAATCAGCGGTTGATAAGTACAACTGCGTTGTTTTTTTTTGAAATACTCATAAATATTCACAGCAAAAGTAACAGAATAAAGTGTTTTACTTTTCAGCATCGAAAAGAGAACGTGTTGTCATTCTGTAGATATTCAAAGGAGTCATTATGGTATGTTTCCTTTTCACTCAGAGTTCTGTACAGAGGTAAAACACATTCGAATAATCACATTGAATGTTTATTAGAGATGCAAGAAGAATTAAATACATTCTGAAGTTTTTCGAGTACTCAGATATGTTTTAAATCTCAAAACGAGATCGATCCTCCGAAGATGGTCTCAGAACAGCTAGAGTATCGTTATATAGAGAAACAAGACAAGAAACAGTTGCAATTCCATTCTATGTGAACGATGCTATGTACTATGTTCATTCACATTTAAGTTATAATTACAAACAATGTCATTCGCTTCATCTTCCAGCACCTACAATGACATGAAAAATTACGGCGTATTTTTTACCTTAGAAAGGAAAACATAAAACTGCTTTTTCACGTCATAACACATTTTACATTTTTAAATATTTTTTGGCTGATTGAGAGAGATAAGGATAGAACAGAAAGAGGCAAAGCATAAAAGAACACTACACAGTTGATAGAATCGAACACTTGAAGTTTTATTCAAATGCAAAGAATTTACTATTAGATTAAATTGTCCAAAAGTAAACTCTGAGGTGTTCTCATCCCCATCCTGTGCATTGCTATAGTGTGTTCTACTCCCGCTGCTCAACACATACAGCCTATATCCTTGTTCAGTGACCAAAGCCTGTATACTCTATGATGAGTTATAGAAAGAAGATGTTATAGACAGAGACACGTGTGATATGGACAGAGAGTAATACAAGCTGTATCGAGATGGCGGAACGAGACACACGTGTTTTTAAGTTATTTATAAAATATTTATTTAAATATTTGATGTTATTTAACATGATTTATAACCTTACTCAGTCAAACAACTCCTCCTTATACGCCATTAAAACCACATAAGCAGCCGATTATTGTCGTGAAAAAAAAGAGTCGACTCTGCCATGTTTGAATAACTTTTGAACGACATGAGCTAGAGTTTTCAACATTATGTGGAGGACCCTTTAGGCTATCGACTCATATATGACGGCTTGAGAAACTCGGATTTTCTGCTCGTGTGCCTGATGATTCAAAAAAGATTTCGTTGCCACGCAATGAGCTCCTATAGTGATCTCTGCATCGAAACTACGCAATGAGCTCCTATAGTGATCTCTGCATCGAAACTATGCAATGAGTACCCTAGAGTATTCCGTACAAAGCTACGCAAGTCCCTTTTCTCTATTTATTATAGCTGTTGAATGGCAGTAGCTTTGCTGGGACCCATCTAACGTTGATTTGTTCGGTCGAGTGACTTGGGAAATAATTGCAAACTTAGGTGTTCGTAACGTAGTTACAACTAGAAATAAATATGTTCTAAGCGAATTGCAGGTTAGAGCTACTGCAGAATATGAAAATGACTACCAGAGAGAGACCTCCAGAAGAACAATAACAGCAAAGCATCAGCTTTGTTAGCAAGCTGGGTTAAATTAAGGAAAAACACTATAGTTGACCCTGAATAAAGAAAAGTTTCACAAACATTCATTTCTTCTTTGTTTCTGTCGCCTTCTCGTATACATTTCCAAACCATTCAGGTTTTAGGAATAATGCAATAAGTCGCCAAACAGCTAAGAATGTAAACACCCCCATCATTATCATACTAATCAATGTCCAATACCCATCGCCCACCATGCGCATCAAATAAAACATACCAATAATCATCAGACACTCACCACCAAACAATGACCAATAGATAAATCGTCGAACATGAATCAAACCCACCTACACAAAATCCAAAGCAGTCACAGCTTTAAAATGCAGAAAGCTGTTTGATACAACTGGTAAAAGTTTTTGTCGTCTTAATTAATCTTTAAAAGGTCTAAATTTACTTCTATGGTTATCTACAAAAGAAGTCATCGGTAAGCTCCGTAATCAACTATCGTGAAAGAATTCTTTCAAAAACCTATCCGGGCTCATTATGTCATAATCTGCAAGAATATGTTTTTAAAATATTTTCGGCGCCTGATCCAACAGGGCTGCCATAATGACACTTTTCTCGCTTTTGACCACGCAATTTATTTTAAAAGAGAACTCTTAGTTCTCAACTAAGAACTCTTAGTTACAATCTGTTTCAGAAAGCTGACTGCATCGCCTAACTCACACTACTTGAATGAATTTATTTGGATATTAGAGATTCCTGGTTTTTGATTTCAGACCCATCGGAACCACAGTCTCGGTTCTGATGTGGAGCAAGCAACTAAAAATCAAAACTTGTCGCAAAAACTATTAGGACTGAACGTTCTACTGATCATAAAGTTGTTATCTTGTCCTCATAACATTTTTGGTTTTTAGATGAGCGACGTTCGATGGAACCACTTAGTAATAGCTGTATGCTTTCTGCCTACCGTTAGTGTATTTGTTGGATATCGACCTGGTATAGCAGCCAGCATCAGTGTTGTCTGCAAGAAAATTGAGCCAGCCCACCACATCAATAAATGTTCAGCCAACGGTGTAATCTCCTTATGAGCCTGGTCTGGTAATAAGGCATAGAGAAACGCACGTGGGAATTTGAAGAGAAACAAGACAAAACCAAGGTTACCGAGAGATTCAAAGCCAAGCAAAAGTTTAATTGGGCGATCGCCAACGAGCTGAACGGAGGAACGTTCGATGAAATTCGGAGGATTACTCATTTTTGATTTAAGATACAGAAGAAATACGATTAACTATTATCTGAAAGAAATACATTTGCGTGTTACTTGTGAGAGATATGCATCGATAAACACTTACACATAATAAACTATTACCAGTTAGGTAATTCGTCCTTCGACATATCATTTGGAAAGTGCATGGAATGAAGGTGCCTATAATAAAACGTTCATAACATATAAATGAAAGAAGGTTTATCAAAAATATTTTACAGACCGATTGCCGTGATTCTCGAGAACTTCGCATTTTAATAGAGTTCTATTATAGACCGTAAATTCTTTATTTCATATACGACAAGATACGCATATTTTCCACATACAGTTTCTGGTTGACGCATCAAGAAAAAGACGAATTTACGCTCTACGATAAAATCCTAATACGTTTTCATTTTATCAAGAAATAGATGTTGCAGTCATAATTCGAATTACAATTATGACTAGGAATAATTTAAGTTAGAATTATGACTGAGCTCAGTCGTGATTCAAAATTTTCCATTCAACATCATCATCAAAGCTATTAAATAACAAAATTAGTTCTTTTTAAACTAAGCTTCGATAGTCATGCTCTTAGCTTCCCTGTTCAACAGTAGATTGTCATTTTGACGCTACTGGAGCTGGTACTGATCTACTTCACCGCGTAGAGGTGGCATGATATGAAGTAGGTTTTTTTCTTCTTTTTTTTTTCTAGAAAAGCTTTCGCATATCAATAAGATCAATCCGTAAATGTGTTATTATATCTAGAGTAACAATCGGTTTACTAACTATATGTTGTTTAACTGGTTTTCTAATCTGACAAGCGACACAACGTTTTAAAAACAGGCCAACACCAACACGTGGTATCCAAAAATAAAGTGATTAAACTTCACAACATGTTTTATCGCGCCCCCATGAGAAACAGCCACATGACATTCACTAATAACTGCAAAAGATGCTTCATAAACACAAATAACCAAAACAAAATTATTTCAAACCCAAAAAATATCAGATTTGTTACCTCTTTCTAGTAATAGTACTTTTGAGAGATCGTCACAAGTTTGTTTTCTTATAACAAATCTTTTATGATATTTAGTATTTAATACATTAACATGTTTTCAAGCTCGTTGTATAAAGACTTCTTCAAATCAATATTGACTAGGCCCGTAATTACTGGAGAAGATGGCATTACCTTTTTTTATGATCAAGTGAAATAATTTTCATCAAACAACCTACTACTATTTACACACTTCTCTAGCGGCTATAGAATAAAGAAAAAGAACGAAAAAACAAGAAGCTTGCGTCATCACAACGAATTTCGTAATACATAGTGCACAATTTACGCCCTTGTACACACTCTATGTATTTTCATCTTGTATACACACACTGCCGACACGCATAACACACTGGACCGGAAAGAAAAAGAATGCATCTGTCATGTGCTAAAGGTATGACTATCTAATTTTAGTTTAAAAAGAACTAATTTCGTTATTTAATAGCGTTTATCATGATGCTGAATGGAAAATTTTGAATTATGACTGAAAAATAAATTGAAAAATAAATTATGCCTAGAATTCTAATTAGAATTATGACTGGTGCAATTTGGAATTTGAATTATGACTACAACATAGATTTTACTTCATTTGAAAATGATCTGATTCTCATTAGGAAATTTGCTTTCTAACACACCTACACGTGTATTCGTATATATATCCACGAGATAGAAACGAAGTTGTAACACATTTTTATGCCACTTTATTCTGTACGACAAATATATTTTGTCAAAATGA